CTAATGACATCTAATACTCGGTGCTTGTTTGGGGGCCCCGGGAGAAGGAGGCGGCGGCCTTGGGGACGATGGATCTGCTCATCACAGTGATGGTACGAATGGATCCCCAGGGGCGCATCTCCACCAGTCTTACCAAGCTGTACGCTTTTTAATATGTGCAGGTTACTGTATGTCAACACACCTTAATGAAGCTGTTGAAAACATAAGCTCACACAATTCAATCTTTTTTTTTTTTTGAGATAGGGGCTCCCTCCATAGCTCAGGCTGGTCTTGAAGTCCTGCCTCGGCTTCCTGAGCTCTGGTATTGCAGGTGGGTGCCACCAGGCCTGGGCACCTCAATCTGCCCTCCGCACACTATGACTATAAGGTTAGTCACCTCCCTTGCACTCCTCAGGTGTAGACGCCCTGAGAACCCCTTTCCACTTTGCAGATGAGATGCACGAGGCACAGAGAGCCTCGGTAACTTTCCACAGGTTGCAAGCCACAGAGCTGGGGCTCAGTTCAAGCACTGTGGGCCCAGAATCATGTGCTTACCCGGCTGCCTCAGGGACACCAACAGAGGACACGGAGATGCCAGCACCCCCTCCCCTGTGGGCGGAAGCAGAGATGGCACAGCCATTGTGAAGAGCAGGCTGGCAGCTGCTCTCAGTCAAACTAGGTATGAAAACACTCTGTGACTCAGCAACTCGGCTTCTGCAGACAGTTATAAATATAGATGGAGTCACTGTCATAGACACGGACTTGGACGCGTCCTCCAGAGAAGTCCCCCAAGGAGTCTGCAGGAACCTTTTTTTTGGTGGTGGTTGGGGATTGAACTTGGGACCTGTGTTTGCCAGGCAAGCACTGTCCCCTGAGCTGCTCTCCACCCTCCCGTAAGAAGCCTGGCGTGAATGTCCCCTGCCATTTGTTTGCTGTGGATGGGAACTGGAGGTGACACGGCTTCTCACTAACAGAACCGTTGGCAGGTAACAGGGGCTGTGACCGATGCCAGGGACTATCACATCGTGACAGCTTGGATGGGCACAGCGCAGGGGCACCCGCCACAGCTCCGTGTCCACCGAGATGAAGCCAGAGCGCGGCTGGGGAACTGCTCAGTGGCAGAGCTCGCGCCTGGCTCGCGCAGAGCTGGGTCTGCTCCCTAGGTTTAAAAAGGAAAAGGAAAAAGAGTGAAATATGTAACAAGATGTGTATTTGACTTACACTAATTAAAAATCCTCGCAAAGCTGGGTTCCAGGGCTTGGGAGGCAGAGGGAAGGGAACAGAAGTTTGAGGTCAGGCTGGGTAACTCCTGAGGCCTCGTCTCAAAAATGAAGTTTCAGGTCGGGCATGCGTCTCAGTGATAGAGCACTTGCCTAGTATGTGTGAGGCCCTGGGTTCCATCCCTAGCACCACAAAATAATTTAAAATTTTAAGAATTTTTAAGGGTTAGGAACGTAACAGTGATAGAGGACATGTCCAGCATGAACAAGGCTCTGGGTTCAAATCCCAGTACCACCAAAAAAAAGAAAAAAAAAAACAGGGGCATCTGTGGTGTTAGCTACTCATGAGGCTGAAGACGGACAGCATTGGCTACACAGTAAGATCACGACCTGGACTACACATCATGATTCCCTCTCTCTAAAAAAAAACTGTTCAAAGAGGCTGAGGCAGGAGGATCATCACAAACTCAAGGCCAGCCCAAGTTACACAGTGGGTTCAAGACCAACCTGAACTACATATCAGACCCAAACTCAATAATAACAACAACAACAACAACAACAACAAAATTTGAATGCTAGCCAGGCATGATGGTGCCTGATGGGAGGCTGAGGCAGGAGGATCATTCTGAGTTCAATACCAGCCTGGGCTGCAAAGGGAGCTTAAGGCCAGCATGAACTGCACAGTGACAGCTTGTCTCAAACAGAAAAAAGAATTTAAAAATTTGCATACTAAATAACCCATTTTGGGTTGAGATTTAGCTCAGTGGTTCAAGCACTTGCTTGGTAAGCACAAGGTCATGAGTTCGATCCCTGGTACAAAAAAAAAATCCATTTTTGATTGTTTTTGTTTGTTTGAGACAGACTCTTGCCCTGTAGTGCAGGCTGGACCTTGAGCTCACTGCAGTCTAGGGTAGCTGTGAACTCAAGGAGATCTTCCTGCCTCCATCTCTCAATCTACATCCTTTAAACTACCCTGTCTCCCATATCTAGCCCTGTCTTTCTTGCTCTCCTTGATTTTAACTTCTTTGGACCCCTGAAAAGCAGAAGACACCTGAATGAGAGCAGGAACGATGCCTGCCCCAAGGGGCAGGCCAGAGCTCAGGTCGGGGGACCCCGTCTTATACCCCACCCTCTTCTCCACTGTCACTGGCCCCTGGCACTCCTCCCTCCCTGCTCTCCTTTCTCCTGGCACCTCTCACTTCTTGCCCTGTCCACTGGCCTGTCTTTTCGTGCTGTCCAGCACCCTGGCCTCTCCTTCACTTTACTCAGTCCCTCTTCTCCTGCTGCTCACAAATGACTGCTCTCCCCAAGGGGCTTCTCAGCCAGAAGCCCCCGGCCCCTCATTCCAGCCAGGCTTCGCACTTAACTGAGCACCTCACCCTGAGCTGGGTGCTGGGGATCCAGAGATACACAAGGTGACCCTTTGAGTTCCAGAGAAGAAACCAAAGGGACTGCACGTGAGGACACAGGGCTCCTGGCAGGAACTCCACACAGTCAGGGAGCTCTCTTCTGAGGGATGAACAGGAGCTCTCTGGCAGTCTAGATGCAGGGTGGGTTTTTTTTTTTTTTTTTCTATTGGTACCGGGGATCAAAGTCATATTGCCTGCTTGCAAGGCAGGCGCTTATGCCGCTGAGCTAAATCCCCAGCCCAATCTAGATGCAGGGACTGGTGTAGCAACGGCAACAAAAGAGCACAGTGTAGGGAGACACTGGCCATCAGAGGAAAGAGGTGAGGAGCACAGATGAGAGAGATGGGAGGGGACCCAGAAGGGTTTGAGCTCGACAGAAAGGTTACAAAAAAGACAAACAAATAATAAATAAAATGGAGCCAGATGAGGTGGCACACGCCTGTAATCCCAGGGCTAGAGAGAGGCCGAGAAAGGAGGATCCAAGCGAGTTTGAGGCTAGCCAGGGCTGGATAGCAAGAACTTGTTTCAAAAAACAAAAAGACAGTGACTTTGTGGAGAGAAATTATGAGATTGGATTTTATTTTTATTTATTTATTTATTTATTTATTTTTGCACAGGGGATTGAATTCAGGGCTCCACACATTCTAGGCAAGTATTTTACCGTTGAGCCACATCTCCAGCCATTCATTCATTTGGTGTGTATTTGAGACAGGGTCCTACTTTGTAATGCAGGCTGGCCTTGAACTCACAGTGATCCTCCTGCCTCAGCCTCCCTACTGCTGGGATTACAGGCATGCACTGACATGCCCAGCTATTTATTTGTTTTGAAGACAGGTTGCCTAATTCCTGCCTCAGCCTTCCAGAGTGTTGGGGTTACAGGTGTGTGCCACTTTGCTCTGCTAGAGATCAATCTTTTGAAAATACCACTCTACCCTCCTTTTAAAGGAAGAGGATGAACAGTAAGACCAGCCTAGTCATGGTGGCAATGCTACAGCTGGAGAAAACCAGGTAAGAGAAAGGAGGTCAAATACCAGTGTTGGGGAAAGGGGTGCAAGACAGGAGTCAGCGGACTTCCAGCAGAGGGGTGACTTCACCGAGATAAGGAGGCCCGAAGGCAGTTTGGACACGTGAGTCACGTGAACGGCCATCTAGGCCGAGGCTGGAAACTTGGGCTACAGCTCCAGAGAGGCCTGGGCTGGACGCGACCAAGCCTGAGGGAGGTCCAACCCGCGACTCCGCGCTCTCCCGCCAGGTGGCACTGCAGCCCCGCACTTCTGGGGCCGCTTTCCGCATTGTGCGCTCTTTGCGCTGGACTTGCCGCTGCTCTCCCTAGACGCGCTGGCGCTAGACCGCGTCCTCCCGCTGGGATTTAGTTGGGCATCCAAATCCTCGCAGGCAGGTTGTGGAGAGCGTGTTGTCCACGCGGCACATGCATGGCAGCTCAAGGCTGAGTGCCACTGGCGCGAGCACCCTGTCCCCTCTGGGCTACCTCCAGGAACCAGGAAGGACCACAAGGCAGTGTCCAGGGCAGATGTACGGAAAAGACAGAACCAGAACATGATAACCGAACCCCCAGGAAGGTACTTTCCTGGCTCCCAGGGCCACCCTTGGGTGGAAAGCATGTCGCAGGTCTTTTATTTTTTCCGGTATTGGGTGTGGAACTCAAGCCTTCGCAGTGAGATGTATCTCCAGTTCTTTTATATTTTTTCCTTTGAGGCAAGGCCTTGCAGATGTCGCTAAACTGCCCAGGCTGGGCTCGAACGTGGAATCCTCCTGCCTCCGCCTCCCAGAGTGTTGGGATTACCGGCCCATGCCCGGCTGTTGCGGACCCTTTAAGGCTCCATCTCCCTGCCCTTCCCCGCCCGGGACAGGACGGGACACCCGGGACCTGACATTTGGCTGCGCCTAACGAGGGTGCTAAAAATAGGTGGCCCGGGTTACTTCGGGGCATTGTTCCCCACTCACCCTCGGCGCGCTCCGTGTCACGCCTTTGGCGGCGCCCCTTTTCCCGGCAGCTACACCTGGCCCGCCCCTCCCCGTCCCCACCGCGGAGCCGGCGTCGGACTCGGAAGCTTCCGCGCCTCGGAACCCCGGCTGGGGGCGGGGCCTCAGCACGTGGTGGGCGGGGCCTCTGTCCGGAGACCCTCCTCTCCAGCCCCTGCTCGAAGCGGGCGGGAATCCGAGGGGCGAGAGTCGCGGCCCGAGCCCGTGGGGGGCGTGGCTTCACCTGCCAGCCCGCAAACCCGAGCCACGCCGCGCCTCAGGCTACCGGGTGGGCGTGGCCTCCTGGGGTGTGCGGGCTCCTGGCCAATGGGTGCTGTGAAGGGCGTGGCCCGGGACGGGGCGGGAGAGAGGGGCTCCTCGCGCTTTTCCCCCGGCCGGGTTCTGGCAGATCCCCGAGAGCCCGCTGCTCTGCGGCTCCGCGGCTGTGGCTGGGAGGGTCGCACCACGCCCGCCCTCCGCGAGTCGCTCCGGGACCCTCAGCCAGGCCCGGACCAGGACCCCCACCCGTCGCCTGTCATCATTGCGGCTCCGGCTCTTCTAAAACAGGATGCCGACGGGCTTCCAACAGATCGGCTCCGAAGTAGGATTCAGCGTGCGGGCGCGGGCGGAGGCACGGGTCCCCCTTTTTCCTGGGCTGGGGTCGCGCTCGAGGTCAACCAGGGGGCGGGCCCTGCGCAGGCGCAGGGTGTGCAAGTAGGGGTGCAGCTATTTATACCTGCTCGGGATAACCCGTGACCGTGATTCCAGAGCAGTCAAGGGGCAGAGTGGGTCTGGGGATCTTTCTGGGGCCCAGGGCTCAGCTGGAGTCTATAGAATCCAAAGTTCGTCCTTTCCTATGCGCTGGATTCGGGAACGCCCTATCTCGATCCCACTGGGAGCAATCCGAGCGGGCCTGGCTCTCCAGAAGCGGTTGTCTGACCCAGCTCGCCCCAGTGTTTCGAGGACCGAGGCTCTCCATGGGCCCCACCCCCACTCCTGGAGGCCTTCCAGGATGCTGAACTTTCTTGGCTGCGCGGTGGGTGGAGGGGCCGAGGGGAGTGTCTCACACACCCCCACCAGCTCAGGTTACCGATGGGAGACAGTCTGTGCCGCCAGGGACCTGCCACCACTGTCACCACCCCTCACATTACCATCCCTCCCCGTGCCCCTCGGCATGACTCTGCCTGGCAAGACCTGATGCACAGACCCTCACGCTGTGTCAGAGCTTGGAAGGGGAGGATAGGCCTGCAGGGAGACGTAGAAGGCCGCTTCCAGAGAAGTGACCTGGGTGTCCTTTTTAGGACTGCCCTTCTTGGGCCTGTCGGGAGCCTCCTGGAGTGGGCTGAGAGAACCCGCAGAGAGGAAAGAAAACCGTGGCCGATGATAATAACATACTTGTCAGTTTATGAAGGCAGCACTGTCTGGGATACAGTTAATATTTGCTTTGATTTTCACAACACTTTCACTGACAAGCAGAGGAGGCAGAGCTCACCCGCTCCTCTCACAGAACAGATTTAGGCTTAGAATCAGGAAGTGACTTGCCCAAGGTCACACAAATCTAAGGCTGTCCCAAAGTCACGGGAATTTTGAGATGTAGGTCCTCAAACATTACTCTGCCTTTGGGATCAAACCTCCAGTTTCTCCTCTGTGCCCCGGTTCCCACTGGATTTGGCACGGTTCTGTTTACATTGAGATCTCTGTGCAATTCCTAATATGGCCCAGTTTCTCTAACCCGGCATGTTGGACGGAACCCAGCATCCTCAGGCTCCCCCTGGCAGGAGCTCCTGCAAGAAGGGAAGAAAGTGTGATTCATGTGACATGCAACTGTTTCTGCCGTGCAGGATGGGGAACTCCCTCGGCAGCAGATGACAGGGACCCTGGTCCTCGCAGTATTCTCCGCTGTGCTTGGCTCCCTGCAGTTTGGCTATAACATTGGGGTCATCAATGCCCCGCAGAAGGTGAGGGGTCTGGCAGGGCAGGGTGCCCCAGCAAGGAGGACAGGGGACCCCTGGGAGGTGGGAAAGGAAGTGTCTGCAGGAAATCATTTCTCTTGCTGTCCCCCCAGGTGATTGAACAGAGTTACAATGAGACCTGGTTGGGGAGGCAGGGGCCGGACGGACCCGGCTCCATCCCACCAGCCACCCTCACCACCCTCTGGGCTCTCTCCGTGGCCATCTTCTCTGTAGGCGGCATGATTTCCTCCTTCCTTATTGGCATCCTGTCTCAGTGGCTGGGAAGGTACGGGCTGGAGGGCATGGGTGAGGGAGCAGGAGCCGAAGCACAGGTGCTGTTACACAGCCTGACTCTGTCTAACCACCAGGAAGAGGGCTATGCTGGCCAACAACGTCCTAGCACTGCTGGGTGGCTCCCTCATGGGCCTGGCCAAAGCCGCCTCCTCCTATGAGATCCTCATTCTGGGACGGTTCCTCATTGGCGCCTACTCAGGTACGCATGGATACCCCAGCTCTTCGGTGCGCCTGGCTGTCCACCATGCCTGAGCTTCTGGATGGGACTGATCAGCTGATCTCAACCCTTATTTTCACTCTTACCCAGGCCTGACATCTGGGCTGGTGCCCATGTATGTGGGAGAGATTGCTCCCACTCACCTTCGGGGAGCCTTGGGGACACTCAACCAACTGGCCATCGTGATTGGCATTCTGATAGCCCAGGTGACTAGTGCTGGCCTTGTCGGGGGCTAGATGGGTTGAGGTGGACTTTCAGGGTGACGAGGCCTGAGTCAACTGTCCTCTTTCTCTACCTTTCACAGGTGCTGGGCTTGGAGACCATGCTGGGCACTGCCACCCTGTGGCCACTGCTCTTGGGAATCACAGTGCTGCCTGCCCTCCTGCAGCTGGTCCTGCTACCCTTCTGCCCCGAGAGCCCCCGCTACCTCTACATCATCCGGAACTTGGAGGGGCCTGCCCGAAAGAGTGAGCTTTCATCCTGCCTCCAGCCCAGGCCCACGCCTCCACCCCATCTTGCTAGCCAATGGCTTCCTCTCAGGGCCCCTCAGGCCTGATCCTCCCCACCCCCAGGTCTGAAGCGCCTGACGGGCTGGGCCGATGTGTCCGATGTGTTGGCTGAGCTGAAGGATGAGAAGCGCAAGCTGGAGCATGAGCGGCCACTGTCCCTGCTCCAGCTCCTGGGCAGCCACACCCACCGGCAGCCCCTGGTCATTGCAGTCGTGCTGCAGTTGAGCCAGCAGCTGTCAGGCATCAACGCCGTACGTATGGCGCAGACCTTAGGCTGGACACGGGGCAGGTAGCAGCTCAGGGCAGGGGAGAAAGGAGCAGGCCCCTTCGTTAACACTGAGGATCAGTCCAGCGTACAGCGGTGGGCGTGGAGGTTAGGGCGTCTTTGCCATCACCTTCCCTTCTCCCTCACCTGTAGGTCTTCTATTATTCAACCAGCATCTTTGAGTCGGCAGGGGTGGAGCAGCCAGCCTACGCCACCATAGGCGCTGGAGTGGTCAACACCGTCTTCACCTTGGTCTCGGTAACCGCTTGCCTCTGGAATAGCCTCACAGCCCTGGGTGTCCCAGAAATCCTGTTCTTGATAGTCTCCTTCCACTTCGTCCATCCTGAAGTCCCCCTGCCAAGCCCTGACTCTCCCCACAGGTGTTCCTGGTGGAAAGGGCTGGGCGCCGGACACTCCATCTCCTGGGCCTGGCAGGCATGTGTGCCTGTGCCATCTTGATGACTGTGGCTCTGCTTCTGCTGGTGAGGCCTGGGGCTTGGGAGCCCAGTAGTCCCACCCATGGAAATGGTCCCCAGAGGCCCCGTCATCAGGCAGGGCCATACCTCAGCCACATCTCGCATACATGTCTTGGGTCCTGGGGCAGGTCTGGGTGTTGGGAACATGGGTGCTTGACTCCAGAGTCAGAAGGAACTGTGATCCATGACCTGAGGGACCCAGGCTGCCCTGAGGCTGGCTGTCAGAGACTGCGGCAGCACAAGTCTGGTGTCCAGGAGGGAAAGGCCCCATCAAGAGTAGTAATTCCTAAGGACCTAGTCTTAGAGCTGATAGGGAATCGGCCATCATGGAGCTGAGAGGTCAGAATGTCCCCTCTGCCTTGGGTCTGCCTTGGGAGCCAGCAGAAGGTCAGTGTTCAGAAACACTCCAGGACCTGTTCTAGCCCGAGGTAGCAGGTCTCCCACAAGCTGCTGGGCAGATTTTTAGTTCTCGGGGTGTCTGAAAGATCTGGAAAGGCCTAACGGGGCCCCCCTCTACCCCCGCTGCTTGGTACCTAGGAGCGAGTTCCTGCCATGAGCTATGTGTCCATTGTGGCCATCTTCGGCTTTGTGGCTTTCTTTGAAATCGGCCCTGGCCCCATCCCCTGGTTCATCGTGGCTGAGCTCTTCAGCCAGGGACCTCGGCCAGCAGCCATGGCTGTGGCTGGTTTCTCCAACTGGACCTGCAACTTCATCATTGGCATGGGGTTCCAGTATGTGGCGGTAGGTTCCCCACCCCAGTCCCACAGCAGAGGCCAAAGCAGGGCCCCCCAGTTTTCCAGTCAGGAGCCCCTGGCCCCAGACAGCTGGTCTTTGGATCAGTTTGGAATCAAAAGAAAGGGGGAAGTTGAAATAGATTGGATGGCAACAGAGGTGTCTTTGAGAGAAACCGGTGGTGTAACTTAGACCAGGAATAAAATTGTGCATTCCATTTGAATACTGCAAGTAGCTGGGAATCCAAAGAGTGCAGTAACTCAGATGTGAAGGGGCGGAGACCGAAGGAGCTAAGAGCTGTGGTTAAAAAACCCCTTTTCTCGGTGTAAATCCTTTTTCCGGGCATTTCAAGGAGCCGCCTGCTGTCCACAGTACTCCCAGCTCCCTCTGAGGGTCTTCAGCCCCTGCAGGCAGCCCTTCCCTCTCCACCCTGCTGTCAACACCTCTCTCTCCACCTGTCCCAGGATGCTATGGGTCCTTACGTCTTCCTGCTCTTCGCGGTCCTCCTGCTTGGCTTCTTCATCTTCACCTTCTTAAAAGTGCCTGAAACTCGAGGCCGGACGTTTGACCAGATCTCAGCCGCCTTCCGCAGGACACCCTCTCTGCTAGAGCAGGAGGTGAAGCCCAGCACGGAACTTGAGTACTTAGGGCCAGACGAGAATGACTGAGGGGCGCGGCCAGGGGGAGCCAGCTGCCTCCAGCCCAGACCCCTCCTCTCTGCAGCACTTTAGCCCCTCCTTCCCCACTACTTCCAGGGTGCAGGGGACCCCTACGGCCTGGGAGGACTGGGAAGCTGAAGGGAAGGGTGGTCCGAGCACCCCCTCACTGCCCTGTGTGATTCTCTTGGATTATTTAAGTGTCATGGTTAGCTGTGGCCACGGGGGTGGGCCTCCCCTCTCCCTTCTCTCCTACCCCCACCTAGACTCCGCGCCAGAATAGCCTTTCCCCTGTAGAGAGGGGGCCGCAGGCGTAGACGCTGCTTCTTTAGAGGGACGAAGGGACGCAGAGCAGGACGGAGAAGTCCAGCCCCGCCCCGGCTCTTCCCACCGTTAGCATTTCACCAGATTCTTGCCACATGGCCTCTGGGTGAAGGGGGTTGTCTCGACCCCTCCAGGGCAAAGGGCGCACCCTCCCGGAGTCTGGCCTCCCCTTCCCTGCCTTCCTGCCAACTCAGCCTTCTGGGATGAGAGGGAACACAGCAGTGGGTACTTACGAGTGGCGAGAAGGGACAGCAGGCGCCTGCCTAGACTTGGGGCCTTATCTAAGGTGCACCTGCCACGCGGGCACCCTAGCTCTTCACTGCCGCTCCGAAGGGCACCACAGGCTTCTGACCAACCAAGGGCAGGCGGGGACTGAAAGGCCGCCTGCAGGCACTGGCTGGGAGGAGCCTGGGGACATTTTTGTATATGTTTGAAGAGGAGGTAGGGAGCAGAAACCAAACGCTGCTGTTTTAAATGTGTATATAGAGATTCATCTATAAAGTCACTGTAAGACGACAAGTGTCCTGTCGTGGAGGATGGGCTGAGTCAGGGACCACAGCCTCTGCTTGAGGCCTCGGAATCCTGTAGAGTCTGAACACCCCAGTTTGTTGATATGCACGGACAGTAGTAAATGCTCAATAAATCAGCTGCAAGTTGGGCGCTGCCTCGGAGTGCAGCTCCATTTAACAGGCAGGGACAGCGACCTCCGTGGGGAAGGCTCATGTCAAAGCCGTGCAGCAAGGGAAAACGGGGTGAGCAGTCTAGACCTGGCCCGGCCCACAGCTCACACCCCCGTGCAATCCATGGTTCTGAACCCAGTTGCCAGCCAGTATTCCCCAGTTCTCTAAAACGTGAAAGAGGCAGAGACTGAGACAAGAAAGCCCGTTTTTGTTTTTACTGGAGGCTCAGGTGGCACTTGACAGTTCACTAAATGGTTTCAGAGGTAGGGTCAAGAGGAAACAAAATATAAACTGGAGTGGGAAAAACAACCAGGAGGTAAGAGCTGGCTGGTTCCTTCTCAGCCTGACTTAGGGCGGGAGTTCGTGCCTCTGAACAGTAAGGACGGATCCTTTCCTTTAGCCCTTTGTAGGGGAGAGGGGGGGAAAAAAAAGCAAAAGGAAAAGGCTTTTGCTTTAGCCCTCCTGAGTCTCAAAGAAAAGGGGAAAAGCCAGTATTCTGATGTCATCAGTTACGGAAAGGGGCAGGAGGGTCCTGGGTAGGTCAGTTGGAAAAACTGGCGGAGACCTAGGAGAGCAAAAGAGACAGACAAGCCAAGCCTGAGTGATAGCCTATCGCCACGGCCCAGGCCCCACCTTGGCCTCCCGCCCTGACAGCAGCGGCCACACACCAGATGGTAGCTCTGGGTGTCCTTTGAGTTGGAATCACTCCAGTATGGTGGAGGTCGGGTCCCCACTGCTGATGGGGGCTGAGGTCTAAAGAGAAGAGCGGTGGCCAATTGAGACTTCCGTACTCTGGAGCTTCCAATGCAACCTGTCTCTCCCTTTCCCTGCCTGCCGGACCAATTTCTACGGCTCATGCCCACAATTAGCTTGGCACTGTGGCTCTATGTGGAGCTGGCTCTGCGGGGGCTGCCTCGGCTTCACTGCTTGGGGTGTCATGGTGGGTGTGGTGCTGCTGGGGGAAGGAGGCCCGCAGACTGCACAGAGGGGCAGGGCCGGTGGCGGTGGCCAGGGAACAGCAGCAGGGTGAGGAGGGGGGCCGAGAAAGGATAAGAAAGGAGGAAGCGGACCCAGCCTTCCCTTTCATCCCAGCCACGAAGACTTTTACAGACGCCCCAAGATGCTCACCTCCGGGGCTGTGGGCTGCCGGGGGCCAGGGGGCTGCTGCCGTCTACGCTGGAAGTAGGGACGGTTTCGTGGGCGCTGGGGCTCTGGCCGGGAGCCGTCCGTGGGGCCTTGGCTGGCCTTGGTCTCACCATCCCCACCTTCTGTGGTAGGCTGTTGGGGTGGCCTGGGGCGGAAAGGCCTGCGGGACACAGGGACCCTGAGAGACCCGGACAGACTGCCTCCCTCCTGCAGGCTTCCCCAGTGTGCCCAGGCCTGCCTCCCTCGGGGCGCCTCTCACCAGGAGCCCCAGGTTCTCGGCACTCGGGCTCAGTGACCAGAAAGGCACAGCCAGGAAAGGGAGCCTTACCTTCGGTACCTTGGCCGGAATCTGGGTGGGGGCACCCGGTCATCTCCCTGCTGTTGGTCCCCCTCCAGTGGGGCTGTCTCTTTGGGGTCGACCCCATCAGTGCCCTGGAAACGTACAAAGGGCGGGGTGGGCTGTGGGACCCCAGCCTAGCAGGAGCCCTGGTTCTTCCTGGCCTCATTTCTCCTCCCTTTGAGCTCTGCCCTCGCCGACTCCCACTTTCCAGAACTTGGGGAGCTGGCTTCCAAGCAGCTTCCCTCACCTCTATGGGCTGCTGCTGGTTGGGGGGCCGAGGGCCTCGCACGAAACGGCGTCGATAGAAGAAAGGTGGTGGGCGCCGTCGTCGGGGCCGCTGCCCGGAGTCCTCGGCTCGCTCTCCTTCACTGCCTGGTTCTGTCCCCCCGGAGGGAGCCTCTGCCACCATGGGTGGTGGGGCGGCTGGGCGAGGCCGCGGGATGAATCTGCGGAACCTACGTCGATTGGGGGCATAGCGGCTACCCTTCACTGGCACCCCTCCGGGCCCAGTTACGTTGGCAGCTTCTGCACCCTGGAGAGGGGGATGAGGACTCGTGAGAACTCTCCCCAGCAAATGTATGTCCCCAACCTGGCTGGAATCACTAGTGTCCCCTTCTTCCAGCCCACATCCCTTCCCTACATTTCTTGATTCCTTCAATCATGACTTCTTTCTCCACTTCCCAAGTGGGCAGCGGAGTGAGCTGTGACCATCTGGGTGGACAGTGTGTCCTTCTGAAGTATGTGCTACAGTCCCCGCTCCAGAGTTTAAGACTGGGGCGGGGAAGAAAGGGCTGGCAGCCCCTGTCCAGCCTTCACTGCAGCCCGCTAACTTGGGGCAGGGCTTCATGTGCTTGGTGAACTCTCCAGAGAAGAAAGCCAGCCGATGCTGACTGGGACATAACCTGGAGGACGTCCGGACGGAAACACAACCCTCTGCCCACGGCCACAGGGAGATCTGACCCCAGGCAGGGGCCAAGCCTGGGCCGACTCCGGGCCACCTCCCCCGAGCCTGGCCAGCTCTGGCCTCCACAGCAGGCCCCAAACCTTCTCTCCTTCCACGACATCAAACTCCACAGTCTCCCCGTCGCCAACGCTGCGCAGAAATTTCCTGGGGTTGTTTCTTTTTATAGCTGTCTGGGTGGGGAAAAGGCCGTGAGAAAGGGGAGGGCAGCAGGGCTGGAGTCCTCCTGCTCTGTCCACTGCCCATTTCTGTGCTCTTCACCGTGTCACTCGGGCGGGGCCTGAGACCCGAGGGTACAGCACCAAAATGGCCCAAGCTCAGTAGGGAAGGAGCCAGTGTTACAGCTCAGTCAGACGGCACTTGCCTGATGATATGCACAAGGCCCCAGGCCTCAACTCCAGCACCGCCATAAAGAAAGAGTTGCAGGAATGTCAGAAACCAGGGGATCGGAAATCCACTGTGAAGTGACCGCTGTCCCCAGGATGTGCTCCCATCCCCGCCTTACCCCTGAGGAACTTCAAAAAGGGAGCCAAGGCAGAGGAACTAAAAACAAAAAACAAACCCAAACCAAAAAACCAAGCAGAGATGGTGCTAAGTTGAAAAGTGGGTAAACATACTGCTTCTCACCCCTCAGTGCTCCTGAGAGCTCTCCACCAGAGCGCCGGCTCTCAACCAGCACATCAGAGTCACCTGGGAGCTTGCTCAATCAGTGCCCCGCCCAAAGTCTGACTGATTCCATAGTTTGGGCCAGGGCCTGAGCATTTGGACGTCAGGTGATGCTGCTGATGGTGCAGGGACCACACCTGACGAACCACCGTATCCAACTTTCTCTGGCCTGTGTTCTTCCCCTCAGAAACCTGTCTCATCCCTTCCTGTGGTGCTAACAGGTCCCAGTAAGTGGGGAGCATGCCATACCCGGAGGCCAACACACGATTCTGACAGAGCTGATAATTTAACACAAGTGGGGCTAATGGTGGGTGATGCCTGCTCCTGAGGCAGCTGTTTCTACACGGGCAGGTTGTTACAGTGCAAAAGCCAGCGAAACGGTGTGTGGGCAATGGCAGAGGCCTCCTAAGAGGGCCAGCTCCTCCCTGAGGAAGCCATCCTGGCTCTTACCTGGTGTACAAAGACATCTTCCTTGGTGTCGTTCCTGCAGAACAGGATGGGTCATTAAGAGGGTGTCTTTGGTAAGGCACTCAGCTCCACTGAGGCCACCCTGGCTGCCTAAGACTGGTGGGCCCGTCCTCTCCAGCATTCATTCCCTGGGGGTAGACAGGGCCCCCGGCAGCTGCTATAAAGTACTCTAAGGCCCTCAGTAACATCCTGGACTTCATGAGGAAAGGCCAGAGGCATACGGCAAAGGCACCTTGAAGGAGGTGGTTCTTCACCTGCCAAGTGTCCCACCTGCTACCCGAGGGCACCTTGGAACCTGCTGGTGCTGGGCACAGCTACCCTGGCCAACACCTCCTCCTCTCCTAACCCTGTGGGATTGGCAAATTCCACCGTCTCCTTCCTTCTCTTGCTTAAGAAGTAAACAGTCAGGGACCCAACAACTTTGAGACAGTTGAAAACAGCACAAAACCTTCCATTCGTTCTCGGCTTAGAGATGAACCCAGGGTCAGTCTCTCTTTTTTTTTTTTGGTCTTTTTCCTTTTTATCGGTATCAGGGATCGAACTCATGACTGCCTGCTTGCAAGGCAGGCGCTTATGCCGCTGAGCTAAATCCCTGGCCCCTCAGTCTCCCTCTTGACACAGAGGGACTAAGGATGAGAGAAGACACTATCTGCTGCCACCTTGCCTGTTACTCTGGTCCATCCCAGAACCCCAATAGGACAGGGAAGAGAGACACTCCTTGCAGGAAGCCACTTTCCCTAGGACAAATGTTCTGACTTTAATGCACTTGGATCTGCACAAAGGTCAGCCTGCTAAGAGGCAGCCGGGCCCCCCGGGAGGGCTTGGCTGGGCAGGGTGCCCAGTCTGGGGAAGGCCCCACTGGGAAAGACCTGGCTCTGCTCAAAACTCATCACTACAGCCTCTCCCAGGCTGGGAGGGGAACGCAGTCTCCGGCTGGGCTAGCTCAGCCTCAGCCTCATCAGGTGGGGATCCAAACAGGCCACAGCCCTTTAAGGGAGATGAGTCAAGGGTGCCGCGAGTGCTGCCCTTAACAGGAAATCAGCGAGGCTTCTAGCCCAGTTCCTGAGGCACGGAGAACTCCACAGTCTGCTCCAAAGTCACAGCAAAACTAAAAATGATGAAGCTGTTCCACAAGGCAAGACAGACAAGCTGAAGGCAGGCAGGTCAGAGCCAGGCTTGTCAGGTTCCTAGGTCATTAATCCTGTGCTGCCCTTGAAGATGTGGAGGCCACTTCTAAGCACACATTTGTGCAGTGATTAAAGACTCTCAACCAGCGTCAGCTGGACAGTGCAACCACGTGCCTTGGCAGGGTAGCGATGAGAGTGGGAAGCTGTCCAGTCCCACGGGTCAGGTGGGAGGACACCCATCCATCCTTCACCACGCCCCTCCCCCAGGCCTTTGGATACCTGTTGATGAAGCCGTAACCATTCCGGACGTTGAACCATTTGACAGTGCCCAGGACTTGAATTGCTGCCAGGCAGAGATGCAGTGGGGACAGTGAGATAAGGGAATAGATGCAACTGGACTGAGTTTTGATACACTCCCAACATCTACCCTGCCTCCCCATTAAGCTTACTTTCAAGCCAACAAGGTTTTACTAATAGCTTCCCAGTATTCTTGTCCCACTTTTATCGAACAGAATTACCCACCCGGGGGAAGGGGACCCAGGCTTTTCAAACTATGGCATGTTCTTCATGTCCTAGGAATCCAGGCCCTTCACGGAAACTGAGGACTCAGCTGGTCCACGGAGCGCCACCCTCAGGCCGTAACTCAGAACTTTTCTAGCCCTCCCTATGAAGCGTCCCAGTGCACCTGCTCCCCGGGCCCAGAGGTTTACCTATTACTCAGAGTCAGGGAGGCCAAGCCTACCGCCCGGGGGCGTGGCCAGACGCCGAGGGTGCGTGCTGTACCCCAAGGCCTCAGTGGACCTGCCGGCCCCGCCCTCCTGCCTGGAGGCACCCAGCAGGGGACTCTGCTTGGCCCTGCAGCTCCCATCCTGCCGCTCGCCTCGCCGGACCCCCCACCCGCAGGGCGCGCGCCCCGCCCTCACCCAGCACCGGCTTGTCCGCCTGACTCCGGGCTGGGGGCGCGGGGGTCCCTGAGGCTGCCGTCGCCGGGTTGCCAGGGGTGCGGGAGCCCGGCGCCGAGGGGGTCCCAGCAGCGGGGCCTGAGGCGGCTACGCCCCCGCCGCCGCCTGCTCCGCCGCCTGATTTCTGCGGTTCTCCCGCGGGCACCGGTACCACCACCGCTACCACCCCTGTCGCCGTCGCGGGCACCGTCGCCGCGGGGGCCGCTGTCGCCACCACCGCCGCCTCCGCCTCGCTCATCCCGCCGGGTCCAGTACCGGCCCCCGCCGCCACCTCCTCCTCCGCCGCCGCCACCGCCCCGGCCCCTTCCCCTGGCTCGCGGGCCCGCCGCCCCGCTCGGTCCTCGCGCCCCGAGCCTCGCTGGCACGCCGGCAGCAGGTCCTGGGCCTGGACCAATCGCAGCCCGCCGCTGCGTCGCGCGAAGGCCCCGCCTCCCCGCCACAAGCCAATCCTCGCCACGCAGCCCGCGCCTCCCGGACTTCGCACCGCGGTGCAGGCGCCCGCCCGCCGCCCCGTAAGTACACCTGAGCCCCGCCCTCTCGTGTCACGTGGCTGCACCAGGCGCAACCAATTGGCCGACGGCTTCTTTCCCCTCCCCCTTCCCCCTTTTCCACCGGCCGCGGGAAATCAAACGGGCTGGTTGCGCCTCAACCGCCACCTGGCCTCTGAGCGAAAGTGGGGGGCCGTGGGCGCGCTTCCGACGTTGCCCCTGACGACCTGGGAGGGCGCAGTCAGCAGCCTCAGGGCTCGCCCTGCTCGTTCTACCCTTCACGCGGATCTGCGCGTCCCCTGCCCATGGAGACGCCACCTCCCAGCCACCGCCACCTTGGGGACCTTCTCCCTGGAGAACGTCCCCCACCGCTGGAGCTGCAGCATCGGCCCGGAGTAGGCTGGAAAGCGCCACAGAACGATTTTTCCAGCTCACAGCTGTTCTCTCAAGCAGGGGCTCTTCTTTTTGTTTTGTTTTTAAATGAACTTATGGCGAGGCTAGTTAGACCGAATTAATCACGCTGAAATCGCATGCAACTTTTTTATTTTGGGTGCATAGGATGGAACCTTGTGCATTCGAGCCAAGTGCTCTACTTCTGAGCTCTCTGCCCAGCCTGCTTTGTTTCTTTTTAAGACAAAGTTAAATACTGTACACAGCATTTCTCTGCGCCTAAAAAGGCTTTCATACTGAGCTACCTCCCTCCCCTGGCCCTTTAAAAAAACTTTTGAGGGGACAAAGTCTCACTAGGTAAATTGCGCGGGATAAGTTTAAATTTGAGATCCTGCTGGCGCAACTTCTTTTGGGGCTACTGATGCGCCACCGCGCGTAGCTCTTTGCTCCATGTAGCAAGAATATATGTTCCCCTTACCGCAGAGTTCTCTCTTAACTTCTGCCAGGCAATCGCAACCTCCATATAGACCTCCTCAGTGCTATGTCTCCTTCCCTAGTTTCATGGTCCCTCAGCTCTGCATGCTGGCTGCGGGGCCCCTACCTTGGCACTTGAAATTTCCTCTGCCTAGAGTGCACCCTCCGTGTGTCTTAGGGTGATCTTCCTCAAGTATAGGTTTACAGTCTCTCCTCACTGTAAGTATGGGCTTGTACGTGTAACATCATACTTTTCTTATTGCATTTTGAGAGGAAACAGTCATAACCATTTGCTCACTTATTATATACCTGCACCTCACACTGGGCTGTAAACCCCACAGCGTAAGAACCTTGTAGTTTCACCTGACACCTGGAACAGTACATGATGCTCGATATTTATTTATAGATGGTGGTAGCGGGGATGGAATCCAGCGCTTCATACATGCTAGGCAAGTGCTCTGCCATGAGCTACCTCCCCGGCTCCACCTCCAGCTCCTCCTCGTTAATACTTTGTTTTTGAGAGGGAATCTCATTAAATTGCCTAAGCTGGCCTCGAGCTTGCAGCCCTCCTGCCCTAGCCTCTGAAACAGCCGGGATCACAGGTGTGCACCACCTCCCATAGCTCAACAGGTTTGGGATCCAAGAACGGCTCTCGGTGCACAGAGGAGAGTGCTGGAGGCCTCCTGCCATGCTTGTCTCGGGCTTGGGCGCCCGGAGAAGTCCGTCCTGGAAGCCGCATGTCTGCCTCCGAAAATAATGCGGCCGCAGGAGTCGCTCCCCCCGGATGGCCGCCTCCTCCCCTGGGATGACAAGAGGCGCTGGACAGTGTATTTTTAGCTGGGACAGCGGCCGGGAGCAGCACGCGCTGCCCAGCCCGGCCGCCGCCGCCGCTCCTCCTCGGTCCCGGCGCGCCCTCTGCCGGCCGCCCGGAGCCCGCCGCGCCGAGCGTACCCGCCGACTGCTCCCCGCCCGCCCTGGCCCGCTGCGAGCTGAGCGGGGCGGTTTGTACACGGTGAACTGAGGAAGAGAAAGGACAGCAGCCGCTAAGCTGCAATCGGGCGCCAGGAAGGACACAACCATGGCCACTCATGAGTGAGTTACTCTCTCTCCATGTAGAAGAATGAGCCAGGGCCGCTGAGAAAGATAATCAGCTGGGCTGTTCAGCTGAAGGGTTTGTGCGCGTAACTTTCTGGTTCCTAATATATTTCTGTTTTGTCGTTTCTTATTTAGTTTCATAATTTTTATCTTTCATGTTTCTTTCTTTCTTCTTTTCTTTTCTTTTTTTTTTTTTTTTTTTTTTTTTTTTTTTTTTTTTTTGTCTTTTTCCTTTTTATCGGTACCGGGGATCGAACTCACGACTGCCTGCTTGCAAGGCAGGTGCTTATGCTGCTGAGCTAAATTCCCAGCCCCATTTTTTTTTTTTTTTTGAGACAGTTTCACTATGTAGTTCAGGCTGGCCTCAGATCTACAGAGACCCTCCTGCCTCAGCCTCCAAAGGTGCTGGGATTACAAGTGCGTGCCACCATGTTCTCTCTCTCTCTCTCTCTCTCTCTCTCTCTCTCTCTCTCTCTCTCTCTCGTTTTACGTTATTTGTTTTTGCACTGTTGGATATAGTTTTTGGGTTTTTGTACCAGGAGTTAAACTCAGGACCTTGTGTTTGCCAGGCAGGTGCTTGTGCCACTGAGCTCTATCCCCAGGCCAAAATTGGGTTTTGGTTTGTTTGTTTGTTTGATTTTTGGGATGGGGAACAGACCTAGCTTTATGCAGGCTGAGCACATTCTCTGCTCACGGAGCTCCAACTCCAAACTGTTTCAGTGTCTGACCCCGCGGAGGTCTCAGGGGCCCTGCCCTTGCCCTTCACTGTCCCTCTGCTCCTGGCCGTCCGAAGCTGTCTCACCTGTCTGTAGTTTTTCATTACTGAGCTGAAACAAAAACGCTGCCTCAGGATTTTGCCTGTGCATTCTCACTTAACATCAGATTTCCTGAAAAGCAGTCTTTCCTGCCATCTCTGCCTCCCCCACCGTTTCACATCCTGCCAAGCCCAGTCTGGCTGCTGCCCGCTCCTCCACTGAGGCTGTTCAGCAGCGGCCCTGCCCCTTCATAGGGACTTCCGGCCCGTGACTTTTGTTCCCTTAGTCTGCATCCAGTAGAACCTGCCTGGCACCGTTTCTATAGCCCAGCCTTCCCCTCCTTGAGTGGCTTATTCTCTACCAACCCCTATATTTCTGGGACTCTGTTCTCTCATCACTTTACCCATTTCCCTGGCTTTGGTGACCACGTTCTTTTTTTTTTTTTTTTTTTTTTTTTTGTCTTTTTCATTTTTATCGGTACCGAGGATCGAACTCACAACCATCTGCTTGCAAGGCAGGTGCTTATGCTGCTGAGCTAAATCCCCAGCCCAACCAGGTTCTTTTTTAAAATTAAAGTAATTTGAACTTGCTGTAGTGGTTGTTTAGACAATCTGGCTCTGTTCTTCAGGCTGACCTTGAACTTGTGTGGTCCTCCTGTCTCAGACTCTGAGTGCTGGGACTGCGGGCTGGTGTCACATGTGCAGCTGGTGGCCACTTTCTGATGGTTCTCAGGGCCCGAGTCCCACGTGCCTCCTCCCAGTCGCCGAGCCTAGTACTTTCTAGCCATTTGCTCCTTGGGCTTCTGTGTCTGCGTCTTAGGCTGTGTCTGAGCTGCTCCTCCTCTCCCTTCTCAGGAAGTCAGGGCTCGCTTCTTGCCCGCCAGGCGACATCTTTTGTGGTCACTCCCCACTAGTGACAGCCTCTCCAGATGCCTTGGCTGAGCACAACAAAGACGAACCTGTGTGTAGTGCATTTAGGTAAGACTGGAAAGATTTTTAAAAGACTATCCCAGCAGCTTTCACCCCGACCTCGTGGTGGCCCAGATCAGTCCCCCGGGCCCCCAGCGGGCTCCGCACCTTGGGCCTCCTTGTTCTCAGGCTTAGCCACCGTCTCCGCCGCCTTCCCCTCCACGGGCTGTGCTAGCCTCCGCCAAGTACTTGACCTTTTCTCCGCCCTGCACCTCTGGGTCCCATTTGCTGTATCAGATATCGCTCCTTACCATCCCTTCTTGGAGTTTCTTTCCTTTTCCTTTTTATCTAGTAGTGGTGGTGAGAGAGGACACTCATAAGCACTCACTGTGCCACAGAGTACACCACGTGCTGAATAGACATGATTGTTAGTCCCTGTTGCAGCCCCAATAAGCGCATACTATTAATGTCATCCCATTTCACAGAGAAGGAAACTGAGGTAGAGCGGAGCTAAGTCATGTGGCAGAAGGTACCAGGTTGGGAACAAGCCCCCTGGGATGCAAATGTGTATCAGGGTGACTCCAGGGTCTAAGTCAGCACCTCCCCTCCCTGTCACTGCCCCCAGCTTCCCCTGGCCTCATGTCTCCTCTAGGTCTTTCCATTTGTCAAACTGCTTCCAAACTAAATGCTTGGTTCCAGCATTCAGGAAAGATGCGGCCTCTGCCCTGTTACCTGTACAATGGACGAGGTTTGCCTTTGTTCCTCTACCTCTGTGTCTGTGGCGGATGCACAGCCACATGTTTGTATGAAGACTTCACTGTCTCATGAGTTTCTGTGTGTGTGTGAAAGACTTCATATGCAGTTTTTGCTGTTGTTTTCATTTTTTATGGAGCTGAGGATTGAACCCGAGTCCTTCTGCGTGTGCAAGAGCTCCGCCCCTGAGCTCCACCCTCAACTTCTTCCCCATTTTTAAAAAATGCTATTTGGAGACAAAGTTGCATCAGGTGGCCCAGGCTGGCCTTGAACTTTCGATCTTCTTGACTCAGCTTCCTGAGTAGCTGGGCTTACAGGTATCTGCTACCATACCCACAGTTTCTTCTTATAAGGAAACCAGTCATACTGGACTAGGGCCCATGTCAGTGACGTAGTGCTAACTCAAGTATGCACGCAAATACCGTATTTCCAAATAGGGTCACAGTCACAGGTACCAGGTAGCAAGACTTCAGGGTCAGGAATCAAAACCAGGGCCTTATACATACTTAGCACACTTTGTAGCATTGTGCTGGATCCCTAGGCCCTTAGCATTTTTATTATTGGTTTGGGTCAGTTCATCACTGTACTTCCCAATCTAGCCTTGAACTTCTGGACTCAAGTGATCATCCTGCCTCAGCCTTCCAAGTAGCTGGAACTGCACACATGTGTTTTTGACAGGAACATGCACACACACACTCTTATGCATGCACATCTTCATTCCCCGCATCCAGAAAGTCATCTTCTGGGCCTGTGTCCCAAACGGATTTCTGTTTGTTGAGACAGCCTGGTGTTGTGTTGCTCAGGCACCTGAGCTTAACCCTGCCCTCTGAGTAGGTAAAGTGCTGCTTACCAGGCTCACTAACATTTCTGGAGCATCTTCTCTGACCATCTATCCGGGGAGACAAGTGTACTAGCAAGTGTCATGATAAACATAGTGATGGTTGGCAACTCTGCGAGTTGTCTTTAAAAATGTTTCATGTGGGGCTGGGGATTTAGCCCAGCGGCATAAGCACCTGTCTTGCAAGCAGGTGGTCATGAGTTCGATCCCCGGTACCGATAAAATAGAAAAAGAAAAAAAAAAGTTTCCATGTAATTTACATAAAATGTGCACATTCATTTATTCAACAAGCATTTATTGAGCACCTACTGTGTGCTTTGTGCTATAAATGTGCTGGTGTATCATAGAGTACATGACACAAGAGCCCTCTCTAGGACACATAGTCTAATAGAGAACAGAATGACATAAGTACACAGATACACATTCTAGTATCAATGTAATCAAAACCATGGAGGCAATCAGGAGCAGTGCAGAGCTATGGCAGGAGAATGTGGGGTTGTCAGAATCCTGTCCTGGAGGTGACCGCCTTACACTGTGATTGGAGGGATGACCAGAGCACTGCCCAACTGGGCTTGAGGAGGGGAACTCCAGACCTGTGAACTCCCGGAGCGAAGGCCGTGGGGCTTTTTGCAGAGAGAGATTAGAGTGGATGGCAGTCCAGTCGATGAGAAACCAAAGGTTTGGAATCAGACCTAGTGTCTCACACATGCTTGGTAAATATTCTACCAGCCCTAGATTTTTTTTTTTTTTTTTTTTTTTTGTCTTTTTCATTTTTATCGGTACCGGGAACCGAACTCACGACTGCCTGCTTGCAAGGCAGGTGCTTATGCCGCTGAGCTAAATCCCCAGCCCCCAGCCCTAGATTTTATTCATAGAATGGTGGGAAGTCTTTGGAAGCTTTTGAAAAGGACACTGTGAGAAAAACAAAGAAAAATAGCAAAGAGGAAAAAAAAAAAAAAGAAAAGGGGAGTGTGACAGGGCCTGATTTCGGTTTTGAATTTTTGTTTGTTTTTTGGTTACGGGGATCGAGCTCATGACCTCACACTTTCCAGGCAGCATTGTGCCACTGAGCTAAATCCCTGGCCCCAGTTTTTTACTTTTTTAAGTAGACTTTATTAATTTTTTATTTTTGATATTTCTGGCTATTGAACCCGGGGCTGATGTGCAGAAACGCACGCTTTACATCAAGCTGCATCCCTGACTGCAAGTTTGTTTTTTATTTTTGTTTTGTTCTGGCTTTGGTTTTTAAGATGAGTTTGCTGCGCAGTCCAGGTTGGCCTTGAACTGACTTTGTAGCCTAGGCTGGTTTCGACTTGCAGAGATCTTCCTGCTTCAGCTTCCTAAGTGCTGGGCTTACAGGTGTGGGGCACCACTCCCTGGGTTCTCCTCCTTTCTTTTGTTCTTTCATTCGTTTGCTCATTCTGTCTTTGAGGCAGGGTCTCTCTGTGTCATTCTTGCTGTTCTTGAACTCACTTTGTAGCCCAGGCTGGCCTTGAACTCGTGACAATCCTCTTTCCTTTGCCTCCCAAGTACTGGGGTCACAGGTGTGTCCCACCGTGCTCGGCCCTATTTTATCTTATTTTTTTTTCTCTTTCTGTATCACTTCTTACCTTCTAGTTTTTAAAAATCAAGTTTATTGGTACCGTTTAGATATGCACAACGATCGGGAATTTGTATTTGTGCATGATATATCTTGCTTGCTCTTTTTTTCCTATTCCCTCCCTCTCTCTTTACCAACCTTATTTTTTCACTTGATCTTAGCCAAAGGCTAAGAATCATTCCCAACTGTTATTTTTTAAGAGCATTTTAAATTCATGTAAATAAGCCAGCGTGGCAGCACATTCCTGTAATCCCAGTTCTCAGGAGGCTGAGGCAGGAGGATTCATGTGAGTTAGAGGCCAGCCTGAACTATGGAGCAAGACCCCGTCTCAAAAACAAACAGCAGCAACAAAGAAGACGGTAGGAAGCAGACAGAGCAGAGGGGTTAGGGATTTTCAGTACTTCTGCCCGCACAAACCCAAGCCTCCCTAGTGTAGAGATTTTTGGAGACGGTATTGCTAAATGGTTCAGGTGCTCTTCAACTCACTATGCAGCTCAGGTCCAGCTCCCCATATTATGTTTTTAAAAATCGCTGTGGGGCCAGGGACATGGCTCAGTGGCACAACACCCGTCTGGCAAGCACAAGGTCATGAGTTAGATTCCTGGTCAAAAAAAAAAAAATATATATATATATATCATTTGGCCCCTGTGGTGGTACAGGCCTGTAATTTCAACTAGTCAGAAGGCTGAGGCAGGAGGATTGCAAGTTTGAGGCCAGCCTAGGCGACTTAACAAGACTCTGGCTCAACATTAAAAATGAAAGGCTGGGGATGTAGCTCAGTAGCACGGTGCCTGCCTGGCACACATGAGGCCCTGGGTTTGACTCCTGGTACCAAAAAAAAGTTTAAAAATAAAGCAAAAAGAGCCAGGGATATAGATGAGCACTCCCTGGGTTCAACTCCCAGCCCCGCAAAAATAAAAGTGGATTTAAAATCCCGGGGTTACTCTGTGGAAGATACACCGAAGGGAAGCAGAAGTCGTGCGAGTGTGCCTCAGTACAGGGCAGGGAAGAGCATTCTGGAATTACAGTGAACCATGTTTCCTTGTCCCACGAGTGGACATACTGAGAACTCAGACACACAGAGGAGTCGAGGGTCTGCAGCTTAGGAGAAAAGCCAGGCTGGAGTCAGGTAGAGAGTCAGGGTTGAGTGAGTCCTTATAAAGCAACCGCTGGTCTCTCTGTTCTCAGAAAACTGAATCCCAGCGAGGTAGAGTGACCCGGCCGCCAGCTGAAGGGAGTAGAAAGCGGCCAGGAGCCAGGTGCAGTGTGCACACCTGAAATTCCTCTACTGTGGAGGCCAAGGCGGCGGGCTGTGAGTTCAAGTGAGGCCACTTAACAATTTAGCTAGATTTTACCTCTAAATTTAAAAAATAAAAAAACAAGTGCTGTGCACGTAGCTCAGGGAGAAGCCTGGGCTTCAGTCGCTGGTAACACGCATGTGCACACTCACACTCACACACGCAGGCCCAAACATGCACCCGCACCAAGCAGGGTGTGCAGAGGGCAGGAAAGGTGCGAGCGTGGCGGGCCCACGCAGATGCCTCTGGAAACAGCTGGGAAAGGCAAATTGGAACCAAGTTGGGCGGGACTTGACTGAGCTGGAAGCTACTCTGAGTTGCTGAAGGCTTGTCTGAAGCCCTTTGCTGGCTTTTCCTTGCAGAACGGACTCACCCCGGGGACTCACCGTCCTCACTGCCCCATTCTGTATATTAAGCCCCCAAAGCAGCTGATGCCAGCCTTTGCTCCCTGCCTCCCCACGCCGCTGCCCTCACCCAAGCCTGCCTTCCTGACTGCTCGGCCACATCAGTGGCTGTGTGCTGGGCTCTGCTTTCCAGCCTGCCCCGTTCTGATTTCTGCATCAGCCGTGGCTGGTAGGAGCTTCCTAGAGCACAGCCACATCAGTGATGGCATTACCTCTCTGTCACCCACAGAAAAGAAGGCCCAGGTCTACACACATTCAGGACTTCATTATCGGGTCCAGGTCCCTGTTCCCCTGTACCCATCACTGCCCTCCCCCAACTCTGACAGGGCTGCTCAGTCAGGGACAAAAACTTTCTTCATACCTTTGCTCTCATGGTTCCCATTGTCTGGAAGGCCTTTTACTCAGAAGAAGGAGGAGGAGGAGGGGAGGGGAGGGAAGGAGGAGAGAGGAGGGGGGAGGGGAGGGAAGGGGGAGGGGAGGGAGGAGAAGAAGAATTTATTTTTTTTTTATTTATTTATTACTTTTTTTGGTCTTTTTCCTTTTTATCGGTACCAGGGATCGAACTCACAACTGCCTGCTTGCGAGGCAGGCACTTGCCACTGAGCTAAATTCCCAGCCCCTGTTTTAATTCTTTTATGAATCTAAAATTATTTTAAAGTGCGCGTGACGGCACATCCATGTAATTTCAGCAAGTGGGAGGTTGAGGAAGGAGCATTACTTCAAGTTTCAGGCCAGCCTGGTACATGTAGAGAGACCCTGTCCCATAAAATGATTACAAAATTGGGCTGGGCATGGTGACACACAACTATAATCCCAGTATTCTGGGAGACAGGCAGGAGAGACATAAATGTGGGCCCAGTTTGGGCAATTTAATGATTTAGCAAGAGCTTGTCTCAAAATAAGCTAAAAAAAAAAAAAAAAAAAACCAAAAAACAAAAACAGGGGGTGATGGCTCATGCCTGTAATCCCAGCACTCAGGAGGCTGAGGCAAGAGGATCACTGCAAGCTGGAGACCAGCCCAAACTGCGTAGCAAGACCCTGTCTCAAAACAAAACAAAACAAAGCAAAAAAACAACCTAAACTACATATGAGACCTTGTCTCAAAAAATTAATTATTTGGGTTTTTTCTTGTTTTTTGTTTTTGTTTTTGTTTTAGGTACCAGGGATCTAACTCATGACCTCATGCTTGTCAGCCTGTTTATGCCACTGAGCTAAATCCCCCAAATTAATTAATGAATTAATTAAATAAAAAAGGTCTGGGATGAAGGCAAAGTTCAATCTCCAGTTCTGAAACAATGATGATAGCAGTAGCACAAACATTTGGCCCGGGGCAGAGCTTCACCCAGCGTGTCGGAGCCCCGGTTCAACCCTGAACACTTCCACCAAGAGCAACCATAATAAAACTTCAAAACAAAAGGTTTCTCGAGATGGCTTTCATCAGATTTAGATAGAGACCATCTATTCCAATGTTCTGTAGGGCTTTTTTTGTCATGCATGGGTGCTGCACTTTGTCAAAAGCTTTTTCTGCATCCACTGAGATGATTTTTGTCCTTGGCTCTGTTAATGTGACAAACAAACCAACAGCCAACATCACACTAAATGGACAAAAATTGAAAGCCTTCTGTTGGGGCTGGGGATTTAGTTCAGCGGCATAAGCGCCTGCCTTGCAAGCAGGCGGTCGTGAGTTCGATCCCCAGTACCAATAAAAAGGAAAAAGACAAAAAAAAAAAAAAGCCTTCTGTCTAAAATCAGGAGCAAGACATGGATGTCCACTGTCTCTACTCCTATTCAACATAGTCCTGGAAACTTTAGCCAGAGCAGTTAGACAAGAAAAAGAAATAAAGATAGGAAGAAGTTAAATTATCACTATTTGCAGATGACGTGACACTCTACTTAAAAGCCCCCCAAGGACTCCACCAAAAGACTTCTAGACTTAATAAGCAAATTTAGTAATGTAGCTGGTTACAAAGTCAACACTCAAATAGCCTTCTTGAATACAAATAACAAACTCACTGAGAGAAATCAGGGAAACTATACCTTTTACAATAGCATCTCAAAAAAATGAAATACCTAGGAATCAATCTGACAAAGATGTAAAAGTTCTCTACACTGAAAACTATAGTACTCTTAAAAGGGAGACTGATGAGGATATTAGACAATAGAGAGATACCCCGTGCTCTTCGGTAAGAAGAACCAGTATAGTGAAAATGGCCATACTTCCAAAATTGTTATACAGATTCAGTGCAATTCCAATCAAAAGTCCAATAGCATGTCTTACAGAATTAGAGAAAACAATCCTAAAAGTCATCTGGAATCAGAAGAGAATAGCAAAGGCAATCCTGAGCAACAAAGATAACACAGGGGCATCACAATCTGTGACTTGAAATTACACTGTAAAACTACTGTGATAAAAACAGTGTGGTAATGGCAAAAATACAGACCTAAAGGTCAGTGGAATAGATTAGAAGATGCAGAAGTAACTACAGACACAGTAAGCTACCTTATCTATGACAAAGGTGCCAAACACATTCCTTGGAAGAGAGACAGCCTCTTTAATAAATGGTGTTGGGAAAACTGGCTTTCCACATGCTGAAGATTAAAACTGGACCCATATCTTTCACCTTGTACTAAGCTAAAATCTGAATGGATTAAAGATCTTAATATTAAAACAGAAACATTAAATATGCTGAAACATAGAGCAGGTACAACTCTTGAAGACATTGGTGTAGGCGAAGACTTTATGAATAAAACCCAGAGTGCGCAGGAACTATTGCAAAGAATCAACAAACGGGATCTCATACTATTGAAAAGCAAGGGAAACCACTATGTGGGGGAAAATGTTGGGCAGCTGCTCCTCGGATAAAGGATTATTAGTAAGAATGTATGAAGAACTCAAAAAAATCAGTCCTCCCAGATTTAAAGACCCAATCCAAAAATGGGCATCTGAGATGAACACACACTTGTCAGATAAAGAAATACAAACAGCAAATAAATACGTGAAAAAATGTTCAGCAGCACTGGCCATTCAAGAGATGCATCACCTCACCCCAGAAAGAATGGCTATTATCAAGAAATCGACCAATAACAAATAGTGGAGAGGAGCCCTTCTTCACTGTTGGTGGGAATGCAGACTGGTGCAACCACTGTGCAAATCACCGTGGAGATTCCTCCAAAAACTAGGATTGGAGGTCCCATTCGACCCCGCTGTTGCCCTTCTGGGTGTCTTCCCAAAATAATAAAAACATCATACCACAGCGATATATGTGTACCCATGTTTACAGCAGCACAATTTATAATAGCCAGACCTTGGAAACAACCTAACCTCAGTCCCATCGACTGAGGAATGGATAAAAAAGATGTGGTATTTCTATATAACGGAATAGTATTCATCCATAAAGAATGATAAACTGGACATTTTTATAGGTAAATGGGTGTGCCTTGAAAATATGCTTATTGGTGAAATAAATGTCACTCATGCATAATCATCACATAGTTTCATTAGTATGATGAGGGGAAAACATGTATTTTGTCCCAAACAGAGTGATTTCAGCCAAAGCGGTGATTCAGCCCACACCTGCCTTCACTTTCACCCACCGTGGGCCATTTTGAGTTGACTTTTGGATGTCTTAAGAAATTTTAGATGTGCTATAAGGTTTGGGCTTTTTGCATGTGGATATCCAGTTGTTCCAGTGTATTCATTGAAGGTAGAATCCTTTATCCACTTAATTGCTTTTGCATCTTTGCCAGAAGTCAATTGTCTGTTACGTGGTTATTTATATTGGTACCCGGGTGGTTTGTCATGATTGGTGTAACTTTGTGATAAGTCGTGGGGAGGGCTGGAGCTCTAATTTTGTTCCTTTATCAAAGTTGTTTAGACTATTCTGAGTCTTTTTATTTTTACAGAAATGTGAGAATCAAAATGTTAATGTATGGGCTGGGGATTTAGCTCAGCGGCATAAGCACCTGCCTTGCAAGCAGGAGGTCGTGAGTTCGATCCCCGGTACCAATAAAAATGAAAAAGACAAAAAAAAAAAAAAAAAAGTTAATGTATATGAAAAATGACGTTGACAGTTTGATAAGGGGTTATGATTTCTGATTTTTACTATTTTTTCTATTTGTTTTCTATTTCCTTGTCTTTTATTTTTAATAAAAAAGTAAAAGGTTTCTAAAATATCTACCAAAAATACCTACCAGAAGAGTACAGTTAGTTGCTAACATCTTCCTGAGCAGAATATGGGTGCTGAAAAATGTCACCTTGTCACCTTCTCAGAAAGAAATGTGGAAGATGAATGTGACTAATTGCCAGGACAGGGATGGCATCCAAAGCCATTGCAAATCTTTTAAAATTAGATGGGAACTTTTCAGAACGTCTGAATTTCAGATGTCTGTGGTGGTGCACACTGTAACCCCAGGAAGGACAATTCAGAACGGAAGGTCTGAGGGCACCTGGCTGTGTGGGAAGACCCATCTTAAAAAACTGAATTCTAATCTTGATGAATGGCTGCAGCTCTTAGAAGGCAGTGCGTGCATGAGACCACACACCTGTAATCCCAGCACTCGGGAGGCTGAGGCAGGCGGATCACTCAAGGCCAGCCTGAAATGCTTAAGGAAAGCCTGTCTCAGATACACGCGCACACACACGCGCACACACACACACACACACACACACACACACACACAAATGAAACTTCTAACTGAGCAGGGGTGCTCAACACCTGAGTTAGAAAAGAGTAGTTTTCAAGAGATTCCTGATCCATGATTATTAATAGTCCAGAGGCTTCCAGCAGGGAACACAGACAGGCTTTTGTTTTAAATTGAAGGCAGATCACCATGCTCTCTCAAAGCTGTATGGCATCAGTCATGATGTAGGCATTACTAATTTCTGTTCCGTGATTTCAATGTTGCTGGACCAGACTTTGTCTTTTCACTTATATTTTTTATACAAAGAATGAACAGATGAACCAGCCAGCACAGAGCTTCAGTGTCGCTTTGCCATTTTGATTCACTTATAAATAAGGTGATATTGCTATTTCTTTGTAAATGTGTGGTGAAGCGCATTACCTTCCCCCCCCCCAACGGTACCGGGGATCAAACTCACAACCACGCACTTGCAAGATAGGTGCTTATGCAGCTGAGCTAAGTCCCCAGCCCTTGAAGCACACTACCTTAAGTCAGCTGTGCCTTCACTCAAAAGTAAGCTGACACCCATGGTCTTCCAAGTGTTTTCCGTAAACCATCTTAGGAACTGGAAAAGCAAACAAGTTCCATTCTTTTCTTCCTCTAGTGATGAGGAACAATGCCAAACACTTCCACTAAGAATAGTAATAAGTTCAAAATAAAAGCATGAAGCACTGTACGATAGAGCAACAAGTTCCATCGCGTTGACAGGCTCATTCTAAAGAAGAACAGACATTAATAATTGCACACCAAGAAATGAGAAGCAGCAATCTGTGACAGATGGTATGTTTGTTATGAAAGGATATATCCTGAGAATTTTTTTAGTCTGTTAGGTTAAGAAAGGCTTTTTTTGTGAGAAAGGATCTTACTGCATAGCTCAGACTGACCTGGAGAGTGTACACTAGCTCCCACAGGACACATGGCCAGTGTCTCAGAGAAATGAACCCATTAAGACCGTCACATTGTACACAGTACATACTGTCACGCAAAGATAACATATTAAGTAACAGTTTTGTCAAGATATAATTCACAGACAGTTCAGCAATCATACAGTTCAATGGTTTGCAACATCTGAAGAGTTATACAACTATCACTTCAATTTTAGAACATTTTCATCACCGTAACAAGCTCCAGTTCCCCCATCTCCCCAAACCCTTCAATATTAAACAGTCAGTTACCATCTCTATGCATTTCCCTATTCTAGGTATTTCATATAAACGGAATCATAAGAGCTGGTCTTGGTGGCACATACCTGTAATCCCAGCACTCGAGGGTGCTGAGGTGGGGGACTGCAAGTCTGACCCCAGCCTGGGCAACTTAGCAATTTAGCAAGACTCTGCCTCAAAATAAAAAATAAAACCAGGCGCGGCAGTGCATGTCTGTAATCCCAGCACCCGAGAGGCTGAGGCAGGAGGCAGGAGGATTGCTGTGAGTTTGAGGCCACCCTGGTCTCCATAGTGAGTTCAAGACCAGGCTGGGCTATATAGTGAAACTACGTCTCAAAACAAACAAACAAATAAATACAATAATAAGGGCTGGAGACGTGGGCACTACCCTGAGGTACGCCCCTCATCCCAAACTAAGT